CATCCATCCATCCATCCATCCATCCATCCATCCATCCATCATCCATTCATCCATTTAGCCAACCCTGCCAAACCCCCTATCTACATTTATCCCCCTTCCCTTCCCTTTCTGTTCTCTTTTCCTCTCTCCTTCCTCCCCTGCTCACTTTCTCCCTATTCTCTCTCCTTGGTGTCTCCATTTTCTTCCAGAATCTCACAAATGCTAGGCAAGTCTTCCACTACCAAGCTGTATCCCCAGCTCTTGCTGTCAGATTTGTTGTTGTTTTGTTTATCATATTTTAATCAATAATTTAATACCTAACCTACTAATATTAACCTTATAATTTTAAATAACCTAATGTAAGACGCACCCATGAACATAAAACATGCACAGACACACAGAGATGTTGTGCACTGGGACGCCACTACTTGCCAGCTCTGGGCTGGGCACCACCTCAGCCCCTCATTTGGAAAAGTAGGAAAAGAAAAATTGCACATATGCAGTCGCACATATGTGCGTTTACATGTGCATGTGTGTCCACACATCAGCGCTTGCAGGTTTCCCTGGCCTGTGTCGGTTTTGGATGGTTGAACACCAAGGAACAAATGATCCTCTGTGTGGCTCTGGTGGTGCAGACAGAAGGTGCTAGTGAGTCTGTCAAAGGACACTCCCGTGCAGAGGTGGAGGTGTCTCTTTGCTGTGGGGGATTCAGGCAGTATCTGAGGATGAATGCATTCAAGGGCAGACACTCCTGAAAGATGACAGCATCATTGTTAATGACAGCTGTATGTGCAGGTGCTGTGTGTTACGTGTGTATGTACGTGAAGGGCAGAGGTCAACCTCAGGTCTTATTCCTCAGAGACAAGGTCTCTTTTGAAAAAAAACTTTTATTTATTTATATTCTGATATTACAAGATATTACAAGTTTCCCCCTCTCTGTCCTCTCTCCAAGCCCTCTCCTAGCTCACCTATCATGCTAAGCTGCTGTCCAGTGACCCTCAGGGACTTGCCTGTCTCCATATCCCCAGTCTGGGGTTACAGAGATGGACTACCACATTTGGCTTTTTTAGAAGAGTCCTGGGGATGAAAATCAGGTCCTTATACTTGGCTGGCAATCACATTCCCAACCAATCGTCTTACCAGCTCTGCTTTCACTATTTTTAAAGATCCCCAAATAGGTACATTTACAACTGCGTCTGTTACCCATAATGCAAGGTGATGCTTTGAGGACCCTTGGGTGGTTTGTTCAGTGGGTAATGATCATGAATTCACTTGGAGATTCCTAATCTAAGGATTAAGCGATACTTATAATCCTCCATATCACCAGCTTTAGTTAACATTTTAATCTCTGGTTAAAAATTCATGAGATCACTGCTAGCAGGGAATATATTTGCATATTAATGAGCATAAACAAGCAATGAGGAATACAATTAGAAAAGCCATTGGCTTTCAGCTAGTTTCTAGAGAGTAATATTGGAGGGAACTGAGAAATACCGAACTGGCTCTTCTAAAAGGCCAGTTCTCTTACTCTTTTGATTTGAAATCATAGCCTCAGAGTGAATCTTGACTTTGACATTGCCAGTGTAGAAGATGGTCCTTCCTGCACATGGCCACAGGAAAATGGAGTGTGCAATGCTTCTGCCTCACCACAGCGTGTGGACAGTTTTCTTTCACAAACTCACGAACTTTAAAGTTTGATTATTTTTTGTATGTTTTATGTTCATGCATGTGCAAGCGTACGTGTGTGCATACCTGGGTGTGAAGGTCAGCGGACAGCCTTGGCTGTGGCTCCTTGGGAGCCATCCGCTTTGTTAATTTTAGACAATGAACCTCACTAGCCTGAAGCTCACCAATAGATTCAACCAGCTGAGCACTGAGTCCCAGGGAGCTGCCTGTCTCTATGTCCCTGGGACTGGGATTGCACGTGTGTGCCACCATGCCCCATCTTAAAAAAAACATTCTGCAGATTGAGCTCTTCTCCTCATGCTCCTGCAACACACATTTTACCCACTGAGCCACCTCCGCAGCCCTCACACGCTTAAAAGTGGCATAGATCCTGCAAAATCGCACTTGATTTTAACCAAAAGGCTGAGAAGTAAGTCTGTACTCGCTGAGTATCCCCGCTGCTTCTCCCCAGGCCCTGGTGACCCCACATTACCATGGGTTCCCATGACTCTGATTGCCTTAGAAACTCCTCAGTGCAGTTGTACCGGCGTGGGGAGGCCGTGCCTGGGGAGAGGAACACATGCCTCCCCACCTCAGATACGGCGTGAACTGGTGAGAGCAACTGGGGTTTCTCACAGGAGCTGGGCAACTTATGGATGACTATGCCACCATGATGAGTACTGCCAACCTGACAGGCCCGAGAGCCAGCGAAGAGAGGGTCCCTGAGCACGTGTGCGGGAGAACTCCTCAGGTAGTGCTGAGATGGGAAGAGCCACCCTAAGTGTTGGTAGCTCCACCCCAACCTGGACTTCAGGCTGAGTGCTTCTGTACTGTGGACACAATGTTGCCGACTGCCCTCCTGCCCTGCCACTGGGCTTCCCCGCCACCGTGGGCGACGCTGCCCAACTGTGAAGCAAAATAAACCCTTCCTTCCTAGGTCGCCTTTGCCAGGTGTTTTGTCACAGCAGTGAGAGAAGTACCTAACAGACCCCCAAAGAAAACGCTGCCCTTCCCCAGCAAGCGTTATCACTTACACAGTCTCCACGAGGGGCTGGGCCCCCTGAAACCCTCACCACCCCCAATACTGAGTATTAATGGCCCAGGCTAGTGTAGACTCCCTTCCTGTACAGGGTTGAAGCTGCTGAGAGTTCAAGAGGGTGACACGTCACACCTGAGTATGCCATGTCTGTGCCACATGTGTGCCATGCGTGTGTGGCCTATGTGTGTGGTGTGTGTGCCTGGATTCCCTTGGAGGTCAGAAGAAGGCATCAGATGCGCCGGAACTGAGCTGAAAATGGTTGTGACCTGGCGTGTGTGTGTGCGTGCTGGGAATCAAACCTAAGTGCGATCGAAGAAAGGTCAAGGGTCAACGTGTGACCCCTAGAGGACACGCAGTTCCTGCCACTGGCTTTACTTGGCATACACGCCCAGGCTCATGCCTCCTGTGGGTGTGTGCGGTTTCCTTCTCTTTGCAGGCCGAATAATGTTCTGTGTGGTCTGTTGATCCCATGTGCACGCATCAGTGCACACTTTCATTGTTCCCATGTTTGTGGTCAAGACCCACTTTTCTGGGTAGCAGCGTGTCTGTGCCTCTCTCAGAACCAGCCTCCAGTTCTGGAACCTCACCGAGTGAGACTGAGAGATCACATGCAAGTCCTTGAAACTTTTTCCCTCTGAGGAAATTCATACTGTTTTCCAAAGCGCTTGCACCATTCTAAAATCCCGCCAATTAGTTTTTTAAACAAACAAACACCTCCCAGTTGTATTGGTTACTTTAAAAATAGATTTGTTTTAAACATTTAAAATGGTTTATGTGTATGTCTGTGTCGAGGAACTGCACATGAGTGAGTACAGTGCCGACAAGAGTGAGGAGGCAGTGTTGGAGCCCGTGGACCTGGAGACACAGGCAGTTGTGCGCAGTTCCGTGTGGTGCTGGGTGGAAATACTCCAAGGACAGTGTGTGCACTCACTGCTGAGCCATGTCTGCATTTCTGGTCTCTTTGTATGCATAATGGACTTGTAGACAGTGGATGTGTTAGGAAGGTTCTCTAGAGGAGCAGAACTGACGGAACGAACATAGAGAACAAAGAACATTTGCTAGATGAGCGTGCATGGGGTGAGCTGGGCAGCCCCACAGTGGCCATCTGCATGCTAGAGGGCTGAGCTCCTGGTGGCTGCCTGGTCTGTAAAGCTGGCTGCCAGGGTAGTGATACCATTTTTATGAGAATATCTCTTCTGTTCAGAGAGCCTGGACCTCGCAGCCATGTTAGTAACACATCCTGAGGTCACTCGGCCTGATACCCTGCTGTGTGCACAGCCTGTTTACCTTGCCTTTAAGACAACAGCATAATAACCAACCTCACTTGCCTGGGTTTTCCATGCAATCAACTTTTACTACCTAAGCTAATTCGTAGTTTTCATCTCAAATTCTGTACTCCTCAATGCCCTTGACTCAAAGCAGTGTGTGTGTGTGTTATGGTAATCATTTGCTGAGAACAGCCAACAGGTTGGAAGCAATCTTGTACAACATATATCTACCATAAATGTTGAAAATAACATAAATATAACAGATAGGTTATGTTTGAAGTAATGTTTTACTTTCTGGGTGCTTTGGGGTCAGTTAAGGTCAGTTGGAGACAGTGACTTAATCCCTTGTAAAACTCCATTAAAGGGCTGGTGTGCTAACAGCACCAGCTGCTCTTTCAGAGGAGCTGAGTTTGCTTCCCAGCACCGAGTGGCAGATCACAGCTGTCTGTAATTTCAGTTCCAGGAGACCTGCCTCGCTCTTCTG